CCGCCGATCAATCTGACCGTCCGCCAGCCCGGAGCCCAAGACTTTGCAAACTTGCCATACTCTTGTGCAGCCCATCTGTGTGCTGTTGAGCAGAAGGGGTGGAAGAAGAAGGCTGATTGGAGGTTGACGGTTTGTAGGAAGGGCGGGCATGTCCAGGAACGAGGGACTAGCGCCGAAGCCAGGCGTCTTGGCCAGGAGAAACTCGGCTTCTTGGAGAAGGAGGCCCGGCCGGGGAAGAAACTGGTCGGACGGGCGCAGGATGTGGAGGTGGTGGTTGTGGCTGCTGCATTGGGAGGGGTCGGTGAGGTACCGGTTCCGGAGTGAGCCGAGCCGGAGCTTCCCGAGGCGGTCTGATTTCGGGCAGAGGTAGTGGTAGGGCTGAGGAAGGTATTGTTGAGGAATCTGCGGAGCTCGTTGAGTGGATTGGTATTGCTGTTGAACGGGTTGGAGGGATGGATATTACTGAGAGATTTGCGATCGAAGGGGAGGTTGGCTAGTGCCTCGGGGGTTAGTCGCGAGTCGTGGGGACGACGGGTGGCGGATTGATTGCGAGCCCGGATCAGGGTGGGGTTCTCGAAGATGAATTGCGGGGGAGTTTGCTGGTTGGATTGAGGCTGGGCCTTGTTGGCTGCACTCAGTTTGGTGTGGGAGGTGGGCAGGGGCAGGAGGGGTAAGGCCTGAGGGGAGAGGTCGGGTGCGAGGTAGGGTAGATGAGGGGTGGATAGGGAGTGCTGGATGTTAGCCCTTGTTGGTCGTGTGATTGGGTTGAGTTGTTGGGTGTCGGCTATGCTACGATAGCTTCCGAGCACCTGGCCATTTTCCTGCTCCTGCTCCTGCTCCTCCTCCTCCTCCTCCTGACCACCGACTGGAGGGGAGTGATCTGGATGGGAGTGGGCCTGGAAGTTTTGCGAGGATGTGCTGGGGGAGGAGAGGGAGGGGGTGGAGGATCGGGTGGGGCTGTTCGGGAACGGGATATCGGCCAGGGGGGTGAATGGGTTGGGAGTGCTGAGATGGAAGCAGTGTGGGGTGGATGGTTGGTGATTAGGTTTGAGTTCGGGGGGTTGGGCTGTGGGCTGGTAGGAGGGGGTGTTTTGGGCTGGAGGAGGCAGCTGGCGTGCTTGGTGGTGAGAAGCAAATGGGCTGCTGATCTGGTGGGCTTGGTTGAGGAAGAGTTGCTGGTGGAGTGAGTCCAGATTAGCCTGGTCAGCCAGTTGGGGGATCATGATGGGCTCGGGGAGGCTGTGCTGTTTTTCTGATTGGATGGAGTAGAGTGGCTTGGCTGAATCTGATGGTTGTTGTTGCTGGTGAGGCTGAGATGGGTTGTTGATAGGACGAGGGGTTGATGCCCTGTGAGGTTTGCTGTAGTTGGGTGGGTTGGTTGGGACTGGGTTGTTGTTCTTAAGCGGCTGATGAGAGTTTGAGCGAGGCTGCTGTTGTTTCTGGTGTGAGCGAGTGACCGCTGCACGTGAGGGAGAAGGCATGTAAAGTTTCTGAGGTTGTTGTTGTGAGGGATGATGTTGACGATGTTGATGATGATGATGATGGTCGTTTGATGGTCTGGTGAGGTTGAGCTGGGTGAGCATGATGAGTGCAGTAGCTAGCAGCAATCTGATCGACGGAGCTGGCTGGCGACGAGTCTTAAGAAAGAAGGAGGTGGATGTTTGGTAGACAGTCTGGATGAGGAAGAAGGAGGATGGAGAAGGGCAGCTGTCTTTAATATTATGTATCGCGGCTTCAGCAGATCGACGAGGTAGCAGTCCACTTGGACATCGATCGGAGGAGGGGTGTGTTGTTGAATGCCGAGCTATGCCGAGTCAACGGGAGACTAAAGTTGAAGTCCAAAGTCACAGTCGATGTCAACCCAAATATAGTGTGTTGGTTGTCAGGCTGACGAGATGAGTTGGTAGGCAGTCTTGAACAACAACCAACTTGTAATAAAAATAGAAGCAGGGAGAAGCACTTGAGAAGAACTTCAGAAACAAATGTGTATGCTACTACATATAGGGAGATTCAGGAATCAGGACTCCGGAGAGACAAGGATGCAGAGCTCGGAACAAAAGATTGCTTGGCGTTGGTTGTATGTACTCAAACTCTTGGCAATCTACATACAACTCGAAGATCCTGCTGCTGCCACTTGAAACGAGTCGATAAGCAACAACTCATGATCCATGGCTTGTTTCAAAATTCATGCAAACTCAAGATAGGAAAGAACTGGGTACAAGCAGTGGTCAGACCGGAAGAAAAGAAACAAGAGCCCTTCCTCTGATCAAGGAATATTCTTGTAATCGTCCCCCCTCCGCGCATTCTACAATTGAACAGTTTAAAACGTACATTTCTACCCACATCAAATCAATCTGCCACAAGAACACACACATTTTATTTTGTACATCATCGTCCACATCCTCCATCCCACCGCCGCGGCCTCTTCCCGATCACGCCAACATCTGCCAAGCTTTCTCTGCTCCCAGCCAAGCAAAGCCAAAACACCCCAAAACAGAGAGACTCCATTAAGCTTGACATACATATTTTACATACATAAATACATCATCACTTTTCTTTTTTGGTTGAATCGATGATGTACATAAAAACCCTTTGTGTTGGGGACGGTTTGATGGAGTCTTGTTTCTCATCCATATGAGAGATCCCACACGAAGCATTCCAAAAACTAGAAAAAAATATTTACGTAGTCATCATTCAAGAAGAGGCCTCATCAAAGAGGAGTCTCCCCGTCGTCCAACAAGTCTCCCAAACTGTACATACGGCTCTGATGATCAGACGAGACTGTCTGCGGAATCGGATCAGTCATAATACCCTGGACTACATAATGAAGAGGACGCAGCCATGCTGAATCATCACATTAGAATCAACACAGCTGCCGTCGACCCTCTATTAGCACCGGCCGCCATATGGTCGAGCGATTCTTTGATGGGGTTCTTGTAACCAAAACCATCATCCACTGACGGATACAGGCTTTGAGGGAGAAAAAAAAATAGACTTGAATTAAATTTTAATAGGATGGGGCATCGCCATCAAATTCGATTCCCTTCATCATGCTTCATTCCCTAGCGAATCCATCTATTTAAGGATCTCAACCTGGCTGTGTTTCATTCTGGAAGGATGTCCATCTGACGAGATGAGCGCCCTCGGCGATGTTCTGGCTTCGGAGCTGGCACAGACTGACTCTCGGCTTGGCTATAGAGCGAGAGAGAGAGAGAGCGAGAGAGAGCGAGAGAGAGCGAGAGACAGAGGTGTAAAGGAGTGAGGAGGAGGAGAGGTCCAAGCCGAGCTGTATAAGCCGCCCTCGCCTATATGTAGAGCCATTCATGTGCTCTCTTAACGAAGGGCACATTAATGGTCATCAGGATTCGATATCAAGCCAATCGACCCACTCGCCATGCGCCAAGCCTGGTTGATGCGCTTACAGGGTGGCCACTGTCATCTGGGGATGCAAGACCATCCCCCCTCCCCCTCCCCCCTCGAAGTGGCTGATCCAATGGTCTCCTAAATAAACGTGATTTTGGTGTCTTCTTGGCATGGAGAGAATTAACGCAAACGGACAAACTTTGTAATAACGGACACAATTAATTTCTCCGTTATAAGCCACACTCTGGTCCCCAGCCTACGATTCATCCTCCCAAAAGCTTGTTCACAGACGGGGATCATGACCATCCAGTCCTCAGCACCAAGTCTTGGCACTCGACATAGTTTCTCATTCAAGCTCAGCGCGACTCCGCATCTACATACACCCACATATGATTCAAGGCTCATCTCCCAGACAAGCTTATCTGTATATCTATCCCTTGATATGCATGTATGCGCTTCATCCTATCTTGCTCGTTCGTTGTATCTTGCAAACAGGCTTATAATATGTACAGGAAGGAAAGACGAAAAAGCTGGGTACCATAACTTTAAGCGTATGAGGGAGGAGATTTGATGTTCGCCTCAGACGGAGGAAAAAAGAGGTATCCTTTTTTAATTATTGATCTCCCTATTGGAAAATCTGTCCTTTACACCAAGACAAGCTGAGGGTAGACATCTTCCAACTGTCCATAGCTGAGTTCACATGCGGGAAAGCCTATGTATATCCTGAGTATTAACTGAGTGAGCATGGCACTCTGCCTCACCCCACACATCTTCTTCAAAGGTGAGCCAGTCATCACTAAACTTCATTCCATCAGACACTTCTTCAATGGCTTTGCCAGATATTTTCACTGCCTGATCATCAGTTTCCAAACCGGCCATTCTGACCCCTACGACTCAAAAACCACATCAGATACAAAATGGATCAGTAACTCCCCCCCCAGTCACTACTATTGACATGGTTGAGTTACATACCATATTTCATCTCACTCTCTTTTCTGCTGTATCCTACACACACCTGTCACACTCATCTCACAGTATATGTAGTATACTTCAAACTGGAGAAATGAGCCTGTGTTTATATACCTTTTCCATTAACCTGATCCATGAATCAAATACTTTGAAAATCTAAAAGATCATTGTCCTCAAGAAATTTCATATTTTCATGTGTTGATTTCAATCCAAGCTCCTTCATGAATCACTATACAAACAAGTCCAAATCATTCAAACAATGAACTCAGTACAATATAAAGGGTGTTGATCAAAAGTGTTTGCCCCAATTGATGTGGATTTTTACTTGATGTGATTATTTCAATTGTGCGCTCAATTTTCGCCCTTTTTTGGCTGGTCAAGTTGGGTACTTGTCTTGGCCTAATAGTGGAACCAACATATGTGTATTTGATTTCAAAAACTTAAACTGGTGTTGCATGAAATCATTCTTGATCTCTGAGCATATTCCTTCAGTTATATGTAGACACTGCTGATTTATTCAAGAAAGTTTTGTCCATTGGAATACATGTTGTTTTGTGCCAGTGGCTCAAATGCAATACATTCCTGCACAAATAGCGGTTTGGAGAGGAGTCCTCCTAACCTCAAGACTGACAGACCAATTTAAAACGGTAGAGGAAACCACTGTTTTCAGGTTCTCCTCCTTAAAGGAACTCCCTTCCAATCTAAAAGCAAGGATCCTTCACTTCTTCATTGGCATGAAGGTCAGCCTGTCAAACCAATTGGTGTACAGCGAACAACACACAGGAAATTAGAGGCATGAGAGGTCACAGACCTCTTTCTATATGTGCGCGCATGGGAGATGCATTTATCAAAGGGCAAGGATGAGTAATACTTCATCTTCCCAAAATTGGACAACTTCCCGTTCATATCTGCGGCTCTCCCAGGAGAAATTCGTAGCCTCAAGAGCCGGATTTACCATGTCATTCCAATTAAGGATCAGTTTCTATAATCCTGAGATGTGTGAGAAGATGAGCATAGATAAAATCACCAGGTAGAGCCATGCAGTGAATTTCTTGCCAGGAGCTCAAGGACAACAATCCTATCAGTGTGAAACCCATTAAATGGTTGTTCATTGTTGAGGAAAATAGAATTACAGATTTCGGTTGATGATCAGATGTGGCTCATGCTGTTAAACTGTGATGCTTCCAGCCTTCTGTTGGTGCTATAAATTTTTGAGCTTTCAGTGAAACTGAGCCAAGGAATAGTGCAGGTCTAGAGTGTCATGAGGTTCACATACTGTTACATAGGACTGAACATCATCTCAGCAAAGCTACACACATTTCTGTCCAGTTTTCAAGGTATCAAACATCATCTCAACAAAACTCCGTACATTTTTGACTTGCCGTGGAGGTTTCTTTTACACAATCATGGGCATCCGTGACATCTGTTGCCAGGCCGGGGGTGTCACAGGCGAGCCGCGTCGCGTCCACCCGAACAGCACTGTTTTTCTTTTTCTTTTTTTTTCCAGAAAGCAGTCGTTTCCAAATTATGGATCCCCGTCGTCGTACACTGGCATCGGTCGATCCTCATGGTGGATCGAATATTCCTCTCCCTTCATCAGCCCTCAAGAGACCCCAGGCTCACTTGGCAAGCTCGGTCAGGGAGGGCGGTGGTGGCAACAGATTCTCGCTGGCCCCTCAACGCTTGCCATCCCACTCCGGTCAGTTTAACGTTTTTTTTTCCTTTCTTTCCATCCCAATCGCATTTGACTGATGGACTGAAATCTGTTCACAGGTGCCAGACAGTCGAGTGTTGCGACTGGCTCGAATTTTCAGTTTTCACAACATTCCGATGCTTATTTCCAATCCTCGCAACCCACCGGTTTCTCGAATTCTCAACATCAAGATGCTGCTAGACGTTCGTCGGTCTACCAGGCCCCACAGACCATCAATCGACAGCCTACGAGTAGTTCTAATTTCCCCGCGGCTAGCCGAGGCTCCATGTCGGTGAATAGAAACGAGCATGCCCACTACCGATCAAGTAGCGCCAACGATGTCCCTCCTGCGGGCCTGCTCAACTCGCATTCCACGCCGTCTGCTAACCGAGCTTCCTCCGTTGGGCCATTCCAAGTTTCTCACCACGGCACCTCTTCCCTCCTCCCGCCCTTTCAAACCTACAAAGACCCTCGTACACGCGACAGAAAGACGATCGCTTCTTGGCAACATGAGGTTTACGAGTTCCTCCAAGAGCGTGGCTATCCCGAACCATTGACAATCAAAACCCTTCAGACCCCAACAACAAAAGACTTCCAAAACATCTTCAAGTTCATGATCCAATGCTCGGACCATGGCCATGTCTGGGGAATTTATGGGAAGAAGCCGGAGGATGAAGTGATCCCGTTGCTGAAGAGTATGGGATATATTGCGTATGATGCACTCACGAAGAGTGGGTTACAAGCACCTGGGAGTATGCATACCTGGCCTACTCTGTTGGCAATGCTACAATGGATCGTTACCACCATCAAGGTATAGAACTGATTGGCATGCCGATGATGACTGATTGATGCAACCGACTTATGTGATGTGTCTACTTTGTGATTTCAGCTGCGTGAAGAAGCAATGTCTAATGACAAAATGAGATTGGACACTCAAGTCGAACCCTCCCCGGACGACAGCCGCGCTGAGGACTTGGCAGCCACAAGCCATTGGCTACAGTATCTCGAGGCAACTTACAAACTGTTTCTTCAATCAGATGATTTTGATCGTGAATTACATAAACCACCGTTAGAGGAATACTTCCGTCAGTTTCTGACTCGTCCAATTAATTGGGCTGCTTATCTCCTCCCCTCCATTGTTGGTTGCTAATTCCGTCATTCTTTAGAAAAACGCAAAGATCGGGTCCTATCTGAAATCGAAAGACTCGAGGGTCGTAATTCACAATTAGAGCAGGAATTCAACCGTCTAGCTAGTAAACCTGTCTGCCAGCTCTTGATTTTATTTTCGTACCGCTTGCCCACCGCTGTCAACTCATTTTTTTTTTCTGTTTCCATTCATGCCCTGCAGTCAGCTCTAGAAGGAGCCAAGAAAGAACACAAAAAACTGGCCAAGGACGCTCAAAGCTTTTTAGAATACCTCGCCAAACTACGAGAGGCGAACAAGAAGTCAGAGAAGTACAATCAATCAATCAAGCAAGACTTGGAGAGTGCAGGTTGAGTTCCTGTTTCTCTCCTCTTGTTTTTCAAAAACAAAAACAAAAAACATCTTGAAGGTAAATTATTCTAACTGCACGACAAGTTTGAATTATTCAGAGGTGAAATTGAGGGAATCTCAGAAGAAAAAGGTCGAGTTAGCAGCGCTGGTAGCCAAGCAGAACATCAGCGATGCCGAATTGCAGCACATCTCATCCACTCGGGCTCAATTAGAACGATCCTCAGCTGCTGCCCAGGCAAAACACAGTCAACTGAAAGAGGCGATGCTTGACTTGGAAGTCCGAAGCACCCAAGCCTCCGACCGAGTCGAGAAGACGCTGACGATCTACAAGAACAAAGCCGTCAAACTGGGCTTGATCCCGCGTGCGCCAGAGCCATTCGAGCATCTCGACTTCAGCCAAACTGTCAACAGCGGTGCAGCCGATGTCGTCGACATGCTTCCCGATACACTTGTTGATATCAAGCCGGCACTTATCCAGCTCAAGAAGAACGCTATCGATCATCGCTTGGGATTGACTGATCAAGTCCTCTTGGTCGAAGAAAAACTTGCAAACCTCACCGAAACTCTCCAAGAAAAAAGGGAGAATTTGCAGATCTTGGAAACCTCGGTCCAACAGTTGGCCAAACAACTCGAAGATGACAAAGAAGTCAGTTTTCTTATCCCTTTTTGTCCAGGGGGTTTGGTTTTATAAAACAGGGATGATACTGAATATGATGTTCATTTTAACTTACCTTTTGGTAGAAATTTGCCGCTGAAATCGGCCGAATGAATGAACAGATTGATACTATTTTGAAACGAGTTACCGAGACTGAATCCACAATTGAAAACAGTCGAGTGACTGTTGATCACGAAATCCAAGCTCTGAGAGTCAGGTGAATTGATTTTCTTTCCTCTCACAATAGTCATTTCAATCCAACACACAACCACTAACGTTTCCCATTTTGTTTTTTTTGTTTTCCCTCTACTTTTTTTTTGCTCTTTCTGAAACCTCTGTAAGGTTTGATGAAACACAAGAACGTCTGAGTAAACTGACCAAAGACAATGTGGATGAGATGAACTCGATCTTAGGATTCATTGTATCCTACAAAGAGCGGATTGCCGAAAAGACCTTGCAGCTCAAGCACTTGTCTGAATCCACTGGCGGGCCTAGCATTAATCTGGATGTTAACTACCCGGCCGGCAGTAGTGGCACCAATAACACCAACATGCGCATTTAATCCTTATGTATCTTGTTTCAACAAAAAAACATCCTCATTGTCATCATCCTTGTATGCTGCCTTCTTATTTGATCTTGAAGTCAGTTTTAGCTTTAATCTGTTGTAGTTTTCTTTTCTATTTCTGAATTTTATCATCAGAAAATTGGATTTGTAGTGCTTGCTCAATGTCGAGTTTGAAAACTCAATAGCCCCCATGTGAAACTTGCAATAATAGATCTTCTTTGGAAGATCAGCAGTGGCCTGAGTAAAGCTCTCTAGGACTCCAGTACAGACAGCATCTTCTTCCTATCTCTCCCCATGTTCAATTTGCTCCCAGAAATTGTACTTTGCCAAGAACTGAACCAAGCCTGACACCTGATCCAGACACCCTACCCTGTTCATGAAGAAATGGCCAAATCAGGCAAGATGAAATAAGGGCTTCATTCACTGGTTTCAGATGTTGGAACTTGGGGACTATGTACAAGTGCTACTAGTACTGGCAAGGGGGCCAACAGATTAAAATAATCCAATGCTACATTTTAGCTTAACAGGTATGCAATAATAACGCAACTCTTTCATAGAGTTCTTGTGTATTGAACCATATCAATCCCACAGTTCTGGAGCAAAGAACAGCTCTTCTGTGACTGATTATGATAACATTGACATTGGACAGGTGAAGCCATTACAAGCTCACTTTGAGCATGGTTTTGGGTCAATGAAAAGATCAGTCTTTAGTGGCTTCTAGATTGATGGGAACCAATCAAAGGGAGAGAGAGAGAGAACAAAAAATGAGGGCAGGTTTCAGAGGGCTCTGTAACACTGCAAAGGGCACAATGTGCCACTGACACTGGAGGAACAAGAGCAGAACCAATTGCTGGAATTCCTTGGGGTTTTGTCCAAGATGTAAATAGACTAGGTACATGCGCACCAAATTGTGTTTTCATATCAGCACATTTGAGTTTTTGTGGGGTCTATTTGACCCAGACAATACTTTGGGTAGTTGAACTGAATCTTATTTCATCTTAATCTTAATCGTTTCATCTTCCACAAGTACTTCAAAATTAAGTTTAATTTTATGACTTGAGTACCAAATTAAATACCAAATTTGATCAAATTCATAATTTTCTAAAATGAGATGATGTTCTGAAGATGAAATATTTGTGTAAGTTCATATTTCTGAAAGTCCTTTGGAAACAGTTTCTTTTTTTCCTGAATGGAGAAGTTGACAATAGTAATGAAGCCCTAGAGGTGACCACTGATGATGATGACCTTCTTTCAAATAAAGTTGAAAAAAAAAACTTGCATTTCTTCACAATTTTGTAAGCTGTCAGATACCTGATTGATTTTTTGCTTTCTAATTTGGTTAATTTTATTCAATCTCAGAATTTCACTTCCATGTGTCTGCACCAAAAATTCCAGAATAAAGAACAAATATAACTGTGAAAAATAATTTGAATTAGATGCTCAAAACGTAAATAAATGGAAAAGGTTCAGAATATCTTGCTTCAGCTCATAATTCATATGGTGATATGCAGAGTGATTTTGTCCCTCTTGTAGCTTTTTTTTTGCTTCCAAGTTACTTTTTGAATCTTGGGTATTGATCTTGCCAAATGAGACCATTGTGGCTGCGGTGATATACCCAAATTTGGTAGCAAGATATTGTCTGAGAGAAAAGCATAAGAAATACCTTTTTTTTATTTTCCCCTGAAAACTAACCCAGGATCAATGTTTAAAATAAAAACGAATCATCAGTGAATTTTAATAATGTTTAAATAATTTTTTGGCTTGGATTGGTCTTGGGGAGAGCCTCAAGTCCCTGAAGGGGGAATACCCTGTCTGGGAATCTTTCTCATGCAGAAAGAGATTCATCAGATGGTATTCTCACGGGATGAGACTCTGATCCTGTAGCAGAGAGAAAAGTGCTTTGCTGAAGTGACAGCAGAGAGGGGGTGGTTTGCGCTACACCTCAATCTCTCAAAAGGGTGGGTGGGAGGACCAAAAAAAACTCTGCAAGGAAATTCCTGTAATGAGAAAGTTTGAAGTTTCTGAGGATAGCATAAGTACTTGAAATTCTGCCTGTCAGTTCCTTTTCTTGATCATAATGAATGGTGAAGATCTTGATCATGTTTACTTCAGCAATTTCCATTGCATCTTTATGCCCAATAAAATCCCTCAAAAATTTGTCCAATATCAAGTGTTTTTCTTGTATGTACTCAGCTGTTTTGAATTCTGAATCAACAAGTATTTGGAGGAATTTGGGAATTTTCTCTTGAATTTCTAAGGCTGATTCATCATCCCTTAATCTAAAAATTCCTATTATCTTTTCTAATTGGAATGAATTTATAACATCCAAAATTCTACCCAAAAAACTAACTAGGACCCTTTCCCTCATAAATTCAATTGAATCTATGTCTAGATCCAATAATGGATATTCATTTGGAGAGTTTCTTGAATCTTTGGCTCCTGCTTCTTCAGATAGGAAGCCTTTCTTGGGCTCTTCACTTGCAAATCCCTTTACTATTCCTGAATCCTTTCCATATTGGAAAAACCTGGTCTGTATCCCGGGACTTGTTGATCATGATTTCCTGAAAGGGAACATATTCCCTAATCTCCATCCAAGGTAAGTATTTCCCAATTTATTTGAAATGCAAGCTTTCCCCTAATTTCTGGGACTCCACTTGAAATAGAATTTTTGGTTTTTAAATTATTATCAACTTCGTCCTCAATCTTCCAATCTGAAATTAACTTTTGGAATGAGTTCATCTTCTCAAAAAGATCAAGTAGCTTCCTACCCTCTGTGGTTTATTTTGATGCAAGTTCATGAATAAATGCTTTGAGATGGGTACACAGTGTTTGAATCAAAGGAAAAAATGTGTGCTTCTTTGGAAAAAAGTCTCAACTTGTTGAGTTTTGGACAGAGTCCAATATTGTTTCTTCTGAACCTGTCATTAATGACTTGTATCAACGCTGCCACAGATACGGTATCTGCCCGTATCTGCCATGTATCACTATGTATCTGAGCCCCAATAAAAAAAAACTATCTGACCAATCTGCTTTTATATGCAAGGAGATTCAACAAATTTGGTTTTTGGCCATGCAGCTTTGCAGAACTCTCCATGATACACACAGTGTATCGTATCTGTGGCAGCGTTGCTTGTATCTGTGAAACTTCTTCACTCTATCTCTGTCCCATCTGCAGCAAATCAGTCAGCCAGTCAGGGTTGATTACTCCTTGATTGATAAAATAACTCCCGACTCCCTGATTTCTTTTGACAGAATCAACAAGACTCTTGACTCAAATTCAACATCATGCATAATCAAGACTCACCAGACTCAAGACTACTGATCTAGCTTCATGACTCAACTCTGTAATGTCCAATTATATAGCCTGGCTGTTTATTCAGCTCTGACTCATTCTTGCCTTCCAAACTCTCACCTCACCAAGATAGATCTCAGTGACCTCACAAAATATAGTCCAGGATTCCTTTCCTCTTAGCATCACTCCAATCATTGTGCTGTTTGTTCAAAATCTTTCCTTTCTTTATATTTCTTTTCATTATATTTTCTTATCCTTCTTGTTGTTTGATGAGGAAATCACTAACTCACTCATTGTTGCTCATTCTTTTATTTTTTCTTCTATCTTGTCTTGTTCTTTCTTACTTCATTATCAAGTCATCACTTTACTTCAACTTTTGTCCATCATTATTGGTATGCTTTATGTTCTTGTCCTTTCTTCTTGTCTTTTGTCTGATTGTTTCCTTATCTGATCCTGTCTTACTTTTTATCAGTCTGGTTTCCTTTTGGTTTCTCAGAAATATCATCAAAATTTCTTCACAGCTTGATCAGCCTAATTTCAGGAATATGGTTCATTCAGCAGTCACATAGATTAGCATAATGTTTAGTGAGTTTTTTTATCTTAATCCTTCTAACCTACTAATTGTTGGTAATATTTTCACTTGATTTTTGAATTGTGGAATATTTGCAAGACATCTCTGAGCATGATCTTTAGAAATGGACCTATTCTGGAGCCAAGCAATTCCTTTTTTTATTCCCATATGGACAGCATTGGAAGCTACATCTGTCATCCAAATCAACAATCAGTCTCTCTATTGTGTAGAAAAACTTTCCAGAAGACAAGTAAGCCTAGATGAAATATTACCATCAGGGAGGGGAAATAAGAATGCCCCACTCAACAACTGTTTAAACCCATTTGGTAACCACTTTTTCCAAAATTTTCATTCATAATCATTCTTCCCATTTCACATTATTTCTTTCTCTCTGCACTCCCACTCCCCCAAAATGAACACCAAAAGCCTTTGAAAAAAACAACTTTATCTCTTATTTTTCACAAATTTTGAAACTTTGTTTTTATTTTTTCATATTCATTTTCTGGGACCTATTCTGCACAACTTGACCAAGGCTTTGTTTAGCCATCCACAATTTTCATAGAATGTCATTGCAAATTGTCAAATCAGAATCTAGGTTTTATTCTTTCAGGCTGTGCAAATGACACAGCCTGAAAATCCATGTCAATAAGAATGTGACTGTTTGGTGCACCTTGGGAGTGGATGATTGGAACAGTTGTTTAGGAGGAAAGGGAGGCATTTTGCTGGTCAGAGGGGGTGGTGTGCAGCTGGGGGTAATATGGAGTTGTTGTAAGGGAAAGCAGGGGGTGATGAGAGCACAGAAATGGCACTTATCACACAAAACTTTGGGGGGACCCAAAATCTTGGATTTGGCAGGGAATATATTCAACGGTGGGCCAGCTACGCTAACCGTAGCGTTAGCGTAGCGTAGTGTAGCGAAAAACCCCTACAATTTAGCGTAGCGTTAGCGGTTTTCTCATTTTCCGCGCTAACACTACGCGCATGGGGAAAAAACTTGCGCTAGCGTTTAGCGTAGCGTTAGCGCTGTTCCCCCCATCTGCGCTAACGCTACGCGCGCAGGGCGCAAAAAACCGCCCGCTACGCTGCGCTACAGCAGTTTTTAGCGGTTTTTAGGCGTTTTTTGCCGCTGAATTCTTCAGTTATGATTTGTGAAAATTTGTTGCTAATTAGGTACAGGCCCTAATTTCTGAATATTTAACTGAGCAGTGGTGCTCTTGTTTTAGCCCAAACACTGTATTGTAAGCATTCTGTGATTAGTGGCTTTAC